GTCTGGATTCCTGTAAATTAGACCCAGCTCCTAGACCAATGAGCTCCTTAAATTGTCTGAGCCAATCAGAAATGAGCGGTCGCTTTCTCCTCCTGTGAATAAATGGAGTACCTGTCCCTGAGTGGTGCTCTCCCAATTCTTAGCTCTCCTCCAATAAACCTCATCCGATAGATGAATGCTATGGTTGGCTCCATTTCTTTTGGCATCCAAAGTGGGATTCTGCAGGCGAGCCTGCAGGTGAGCCCCCAGTCTGGTGGTACCTCCAGAGCCCTTTGGGCTTTCTGCCTCCATGCTGTTTGTGGGGGTGCTCTGCTAAGGTTCTTCTCAGATCCACACTTCACTCCTTCGGCAGGTTCAGTTCTCTGAACATTCTTTGGTGCTGACCCAGACTGGCCCTCTTGACGAACTAGGTCCATTGGGGTGTTTCTGTTACTTGCTGTTACACTAGGGGGAGTCCTGAGAAGTCAAAGAATGCCGGTGAACTTTGTGATTGAAAATAGATGAAAGTAACTTAATAGAGGTTTGTTCTATTATGGGGGAGGTTTTGGAAAGGGCATCTCAGACGCGTTCTTGAGGTTGGTTTGGTATTTGAGTTTCCAAACAACAAAATGACTCCAAATGAGCATCTCTAAGAGCTGCTATTGAGCAGTTATCAAAACAAAGCAGGAACTATTTAGGCTCTGGTTAAAAAGTTCACCCAGGGGACTTTCCAGAGGCCCAATACACTTGATAGACTGGCCACGGAGTCGCTCTGCCACTTGTACCTGCTGTGTTCACCTGCCCAGCATGCTCCTCCCTGCTTGCCTGGTTCCAAGTCTCTTCTGGCTGGATTTCCTTTTCCTCTGTCTCTTTTCCATGCCTCTCAAGGTGAAACCAGCTAACAGTATAGCTCCTGACAGGAGCCAGAAACCTGACCCAGGGAAGATCCTCAAAGGTTGGCTGAGGAACGTGGTATCCTTTTTTTTCTTTGTAAAATCATTTTACTGGGGCTTGTACAACTCTGATCACAACCCATACACACATCGGAACGTGGTATCCGAATGGAACATCGAACCCTGGCCCTCTTGTAGTTGTCGTTAGGGACCATGCGGTCCAGTGTGTCCCACGCCGGCCTCAGAGTTGCTCTTATGCCTGAAGCCAATGTTGCAGCCACGGTGTCCATCCATCTCCGTGAGGGCCTTCCTCGTTGTCACTGCCCCTCCACGTTACC